GCCTAACAGCCTGCTCTGCCTCTCCCCAGCATGCAGAAAGAAGAGATGGAGTTCCAGCCCTTGGAGCAAATTAAAGAGAACGAGGAGGCCAACCACTCCACACCATTACTGGGACACCTGGGCCGCCTCCTTGGTGTCCAGTCACCCAGCTTCTCCAGGTCCTCTTCCCGGATGAACCTGCTGCGCAGGAGAGGAGAACCCATGTCCCCTTTCTCCCATTACATGTACCAAGACATGGGCAAGGCTGGAAGCCCTTGTGGCATCAATCGGCCCAGGGGAGACTCCAACTCCCAGGAACAGTGGGACAGCGAAGATGGAAAACTAAGGGAGTTTGACGCCTTCATGTCGACCCCATTCTATGAGAGACCTGGTTTCTACAGCGCTCCACAGACACCCATCAGCTCTATCCCCATGATTTTCCCTTCTAGACGCCAAGGCCGCAAGAAGCCTCCTGCACTCTCCAGCATTGCCGCGTGCTCAACTTCTCTTAGGGATGTTGTCAGCACCTCTCCTTGCAGAGCCAGTGATGTGTATAAGAGCCAAAGCTCCCTTGGCTCAGGTGCAAAGGAAACATTTATTTGGCCAACAGACCGGAGCAAAGGTTCTGACTCACTGGTTGTAACGGCAGAAGAAAAGAGCAACTCTTATGGTAAAGGCAAAGAAAGTGCCACCACAGGAAGTCCAGGAGCTCAGTCCACAGCATCAAACAGCCCTAAGTTCCCCTTCTTGGCAGAGTCTCCAGACCATGAGAAGCAGGGTAGCTTCAAGAGCCTGAAGAGCTTGAAAGCTTCTCACCCTTCCTGGCTAACCCTAGAAAACACAGCATCACCCACCCCCAATTCCGAGCACTCAAGTGTCTTTCACACCCCCAGTAACAAAACCCCTGGAGGCAGCACCTCCTTCTGCTTCTCCTTCACTCCTGTAACATCCCCAGTGCTGCAGAGGTCCCACATGGGGAATGTGGGCCCTGATGCTCGCAGCCTAAGTTTGGAAGATGCAGCCAGCACTCCAGAGCAGCATCCAGCAGAGGCTTCCAGGAACACGAGAGACACTGGAAATGGAAGCACTAATGTTCCACCTACAAAAGAGACGAGAAGAGCTGAGAGTCCATCCCCCAATGACTCTGGCATCTCACTAGCTGAAGGTGACTACGTGGGGCTGATGGAGGTGATCATGGAGACCAGTGAAAGCACATGTGAAGAACAGATGGATCAGTACAGCTAGAGGAGAACAAGAGACACAATTCTGTTGAGGTAATGCAGTATCTTTACACTTGGCCATGCTGGCACTTGCCCAAACAGGGCAGCGCAGCCAAACCACCTACTGCTGGGACATAGAGCTAAAGCCCAGCCTAGGCTAAAGCCAGCACTAAAGACTCACTGCTACTGGCCTCGGGTACAGTGGCAGACACAACTCCAGTGTTGCAACAATAAAACTATCACCCCCCCCCTCTACATCTGTAGCAAAAGACTCCTGAGTGTGAAGTATTGCAGATATTCAACAGCAGAGCACTATCTCAGCAGGTACCAGCCTGGAGAACCTGCACGTATAGCCCAAAACAGAAGGGGACTATAATTAACAAGGACATCTCCCCCCACCTCATCACAGCAAGAATTGTTACGTGAGCTTTATGTTAGTGTTTGTCACAAGACCCATTACACGTCTCGGGCAGGACTTGCACTACTGACAAGATACTCCAGGGAAAGGGACTGAAGCAAGTCACACCATTAGTGATGCAGACTCACAGTGCCCCAAAGTCATGCCTAGCAGTGTTTTCCAGTACTGGAAAAGTCATGGATTAAGGCAAGGCAAGTGCCTACTAGACCAGGTGGCTGCAGGCAATGGGATTTGCCCTGCACATTGAAGTTCTCCATCCCATCTGCCACGGATTTGACAACGCTCAGAGCAAGTTGCTTAGATGGCAGCAGCCACCGCACAGCTCTGAGTTTTTACTGTCCTCCCTAACTAAATAAAAGCAAGGCTGAAGCCCAGGACCATCTGCTTCATTTCCTCATTTTAGTTTCCATGTGACAATAGGGATAAGAATAGAAAAAACCCACGTTTTTCTACTTCTGTCTTCAGAAACAGCTGAAAACATCCTGTATCACAGGGGGCACGTGACAAATTCACTTCCCACATCCCTCCCAGCAGCGGCCCACTCGCTGCCTTCCAGTACTGCCAGACCTTGGCAACCACCACCACCACCTGCTGCAACTCCCTATAGTGGCACCAAGGCAGTTCCTCCAACGCTGCTGTTCCAGCTCAGCCCGGTGACAGAACGCAGCTCAAGACTGGATTGACAGTATGTTTTCTCCACTCACAAGTGTGGCACCACTTGTTAGGCAGGCAAAATGCCAAGCGAGGCACTAACACCCTCCTCCCCCTTCAGTTACCTCATCTAAATTCACAGGGACGAGCTCAGGAAACCCAGATTTAAGCTTTCCTTCCCTTGTGATTTATGGCAACAGCTTTGGTGGCGAAAGCATTTAAATCACTTCAGTCACTAAAACACTCCTGCAGTGGATCCCATGACATTGGAAAAACCAAAGAGTCATTTTTATAAGAGCACTAAGCAAGTAAAATCTGATCCCTCTAATATATTCCCTGGAATAACAGGGAAGGACTGAAGAGAGATGAAGAGAACGAATAGGGAAGGAATCTATTATTCCACCCATGCCCCATCCCTGGCAGTGTTCAAGGCCAGGTTAGACAGAGCTTTGGGTGACATGGTCTAGAGTGAGGAATCCCTGCCTATGGCAGGGGGTTGGAACTGGATGATCTTAAGATCCTTCCCAACCTTAACTATTCTGTGATTCCTTCATGCCCAACTTAAGCCAACTGTCACAAGAGCAACTACCGAGCACAGTCCCACAAGTGCAGGCCTCTTGTTACCAAGAGAAACAGCAAAAGCCAGCTTGAACCAAGTCACTTTATTGGATGGAGGGCGATACACAAAACACAAGAGAAAAGAGGGGTGATATTTGGTACAGAGTATAAGAACTGTTTATCTAGATAGCTGGAGATGCATGCACGGCTGGACAGTGAAGTCGGAGTCCCACTGAAACCCAGAGGGTGGCTCTCAGCATGACTTCAGCTGTCATGGTCGCTGTCCCCAAGGGTGTGCTTGTCAAAGAGGTACTCTGCCATGCCATACTTCGGTGCCCCCATCTTCCTCAGGTTGGTCACATGGTCACCCAGCTCCTTGATGGCTTTGACCTGCTCATCCAGGTAATGAGTCTCAATGAAGTCACACAACTGAAAGGGAGACAAAGAGAGTTTGAATTTAGGCCTGGGCACGGCTTATCCTGCTGCAGCAGCATCTGAAATCCTACCCAGCCTCTCCAAGGGAGGGGAAAGGACACAGAATGACAAATTGAAAGCTGCAGCCTTTAATTTTGCCTTGGCAATGCCAGAACAAGACCAAAACAAAGCAGGCTTAGCTAGGCACACTCGCTCCACAACCCTGCAGTAACATCAGTTCAGGAAGCCTTCCCTCTTCCTCACCATGAGAAGCAACAGCAAAGTTTCTGAACAGATTTAGAACCCCCACTGCACAGCTTTTTAATTCATCACCATAAGGATTCACACCTGTACAATGGCCCAGCTGTGTTTCTTTTTTAAGGAGTCCTCTAACTTTGGCAGGACATTGCCAAGAGTCCTTTGATTCAGAAACATTCTAATCTCTTCCCAATACTAAGAAGCCTCAATCAAGCCTTGCCAGTAACTTCCATCTGTGAAGAAATCTGTGTTTACAGGCACTGTGTTCTGAAGTGTCAGGGCTTTTAATATTTGGAAGCAGCAGCTCCAAAGTTTGATGACAAAAAAGCCTTATGACAGAAAGCCTTTACAGGCATCCACTGGTTTAAAGCCAGAACTCATCCCCCACAAAAGCAAGACTTTTTTGTAGAGCTTAATACATTTCTTCAAGATGCATTCTGTTCTGAGAGCAACAGAGGGGTTTGCACAAAGCCAAGCACCCACTGCTTTGTAAGGTTGGTCTTAGGCACCCTAACACACTGCAACCAGTCCTCCTAGAAGGAGATGGCAACAACCATACCAAATAGGAAAGGTACAAGCCAACACCTCAGCCCTTCCCTTTTTCCACCTTCAGTAACATCAGGGACACATGACTTGCCCCCAAACCCAAGCTACCAGACAGACAACCGCAGAGCTCCATTCTGAGCTTCAGCATCCACTTACATGTGGATCATTCTTTTCAGTTGCCAGTTTGTGCAGCTCCAACAGCGACTGGTTCACATTCTTCTCCAGGTGCAGGGCACACTCCATTGCAGTCAGTCCATTCTCCCAGTCATCACGATCTGGCTTCTAGAAGAGGAAAGCACATGACCACATTTTAAGTGCCCACAGACCAGTAGGGAACAAAGTCTTTCAGATCAGTCTTAAAGCCTATTTAGAGCAGGCTCAGGCATTTAGGTATCTTCAAACATTTGGCAGGCACACAGTGCACACTCAGAACAGGACTGTATGTCCCAGACCCGTCCCCCTTCCCTAGGTTCTCTTCTTGTAGGCAAGACAGCTAAAAGAGCTACTGCTTTCCTCCTCCTGTTAAAACCTAATGGCTTAAACATCTGCCTGTGTAACTAAGGCACTGGGCAGTCGCAGAAACAAAGCAGTTAAGACACCAGGACAGACAAGTCCAACCTTCCGCTCAGAACTGCCTAGTAGAGTCTGGTGTTTCCAAGCACTCACAACTTACTAGTAAACAAGGGAATTCTTCCCATGCTCATCACTCGTTTTGTTTGCTGTTTTCCCCATGAAGAGTTATCTTGAATTCAACTGGCCTTACAACACTGCTTGTTTTCTGCTATTCTAAATTGCCTCACTAAACTAACTTCAGAAAAACAGCACTATGAAACCTTGCGGTGAGCTTAGGAGGCAATGGGAAACTTGACATTTCCTATTCCTATGGCAAGAAGTCAAGAGTTCTCTACAAAACAGCAGAGAGAAAACTCACCATCAAATTTAAGGCCAAAGAACTGGTTGTGTTCTAGTTACCTTCACCCTAGAGGAAACCACCTAGAGCCAGGCAACCTCTTCTTACATAGAAAGTACTTTTTATGAGTCAATCAGCAAATTATCAACTTACTACCCATCTCTAGATTTTGGGCTGAGTGCCACACAGATCCCAGCAATGCAGTATGTTTATCTACAATCAGCTCCCTTCTGGGAGAGGATCCACAGGGAAATTCACCCAATTCCAGCCTGAAGACAGGCCACAAGTCTAGTTCTGTGTTAGAGGTCAACCCATAGCTCCACTCCTCACCTTGATGTCCTGCAAGAAGATGCGCCCGCCCCGCTGATTCTGCAGCTTCATCAGTTTCTCAGCATGCTCACGCTCCTCGTGGGACTGATGCAGGAAATACTTGGCAAAGTTTTTCAGAGCCACATCATCCCGGTCGAAGTAGTAGGACTGAAAAATAAGAATTTATATAGTCAAGCCCCCAGGCCTCACTGCAGCAGCCACACAGTCAAATCTACACAGCAACTTTGGATCTGTCTCCTCTCAGCCCTGCTTCCAGGGTGGCTGGAGTTCAAGGCCAGCACCAGCACTGACAACATCAAGGCAGCCTGGCAAAACTCTTCCCTTGGGGGCAAGTTAAATTTTCCTAACTAGGATTCATTTTTAACCTCTGTCCCTACCATGACCACAAATAAACGTTATTTCTGGTTCAGTTCTGAAGACACAAAAAACCTCCCATCCCACAGATGACCGTTCTGAGCACCACTCAAATGCCTTAAACACAGCAGACTTGAAAAGCCTTTTTCAAGGAGATGGAATAGTCCCTGCTCCCTTTGTTTGCCCGAGTTTGTTTACAATGATCACAAGCTGATGTTCTGACTTGCAATGCCACATAAGGGTGGCCAAATTCAAGGTACTTTTGCAGCAAAGTTCCCGTGGTTCCCCAGGCTTATAAGGGATTTGTCCAAAAAGTACGGTTCCTACTGTTTTTGGGGAAAAAAACCTAGTATCACATTTAAAAGACAAAAGGAACTAAAATACATATTCAATAGCAAGTACGAGATTACTTTTTTTTGAAAGCCAAAAACCTGTAACAGCAGTTAGAAGCCATCACACAGCTTGTTTGTTCTCTGGTCAGAGCCATTAGGCAGGATTCAAAGGGAAGCTTTGTATCAGCTGCCAGTTATTTAACCAAACTACTGCAGAATTCTCTGCTCTCAAACCAGCAGCTTGCTTGGGAGGTTGGAGGCAACACACTGGTGCTTGCGTGCCACTATCATCCACCAACGTAACTACATTCAACTCCTGAGGTTCAGACCTTCACGGTGACACAGAAGCAAGCTGTGAAGCTCTACAACTCCATGCCACAACATACTACCGTGTCATGAAAAAGTCTCGAGTTACATGCACATGTAAAGCTCCAGGATTGCTGCACAGAGGTCAGAGCTGCTGGATGGACCAAAGTTACTCATTTCGGCTATGGCTAAAATGGAAATCTCACACCACGCGAGGCATGCGAGCACAGCGCCAAGGAAACCCCGGATTCCGACTAATTCACTTCTAAAAGCTATGAACTATGAAAAACCTCGCCTCGAGAGACAAGAACGCCCGTGGGAAAGGTGCCAATCGCTTCGTTACTCAACTCCTGCTATCCAGCCCAGCCCCAAGGGCAGAGTCGCTTGAAAGCCGCTGAGCTGCGCTGATAACGAGTCCGCCAAGGGGAACGGACAGAGCGCGGTTAACGTGTAACTGCGGCTCGACACCGAGATAAAGGCTTCACCTACAGAAAACAAGCGGCCGCCCCACCCCCAGGGAAGGCTGAGAACGCCCCTGAGGCGAGCGGGGGGGAGGAGGAGGAGGAGGAGGAGGAGG